TCGCACACATTTACGCACATTCACACACACTCACACACACGCGCGCACGCACGCCGCATGCAGCGCACGCACGCACGCACGCACGCACGCACGCACGCGCGCGGCGCGCGCCCAACACGCACTCCGCCCTCGCGCGCATACGCACGGCACCCACGGCACGCGCGCAGCCACGCACCCCGCACCCACGCAACCCACGCAACCCACGCAAACGCCACGCCACCACGCACCCACGCACGCACGCACACGCCACCCGCACACGGCACACGCACACGCAACACGCACACGCACACACGCACACGCACGACGCAACACACCACCGCACACGCAAACACGCACGACGGCACAACGCGTACGCACACGCACGGGACGCACACGCAACACGCACCCCACCGCAACACGCACACGCACACACGCACACCACAACTCACACCACACGCACACGCACCGCACCGCCACCGCACCACCCCGACGGCACAGCGCGACGCACGCGCGCAACAAGCACGCGCGACACACACGCGACAACGCACAAACACACCGCACCACGCACAGCAACACGCCACCGACGCACAAGCACACTATGCACACGAGCGCACAAACGAACACGCACGCACACGCACAGCACACGAACACGCACACACACACGCACACGCACCACGCACACGCCCCGCACACGCAAAAGCACACGCATCGCGCACGCGCCACAAACGCCACGCGCACACGCCACCACACGCACACGCGCCGCACAACTCACAGCAACGCGCACATTGCACACGCACGCCGCACACTCACACACTCACACAGAAATAAAAAACGCACGCGCACACGCACACGCACACACTGCACACGCACGCGCACACGCAACACGCACACGCACACGCCCTTACGCACACCCACCTACCCCACCCCCCACCCCCCACCCCAGCCCCCACCCCCACCCACCCACCCACACACACACACACACTTGGCGACTGTTGGTCGCGCCCGCCGCCCTCTCCCCCGCGTTCTGCTCCCTTTGTATACTGCGACCGTTAGTCGCTTCCAACCGCCCCCCCCGCCCCGCGGGCGGCCACCCTGATGGCCGACGTGGCTTCGCGCCCAATGCCGCCCGGGGAGCGCCCGGCTGGGGGCGCCAGACCTCCTCTGGCCCCCCAGTTCGCTCCCGCTTTGGGCTGCTTGTGAGTTTGCGCCCCTCGGCGCCGAGTCGCCTCCCCCACGCGCCCGCCTGGGCGCTGCAGGGGGCCCCCTGGCCTCCCGCCGCCGCCCCCCGCCACGAGGCCGCCGAGGCGCTGGGGGGGCGTCGCCGCCGCGTCGCTATACACGGCGCCGGCGCAGCCGCCGTCCTCTGCATCAGTGCGGCTCTGGGCTTTCCCAACTGGGCGGCCGCTAATCGCTCGTTCGCGCTCCTCTCCCCCGCGCTCGTCTCCTTTGCCAAACATTGCGACCGTTAGTCGCTGTCGCGCACGCGCCCGCTCACCCAGCAGCGGCCCCCCCTTGCGGCCGCCCTGCTTCGCGCCTAATACCGCCCCGCGAGTGCTCAGCTGGGGGCGCTGGCCCTCCCCTGGCCCCCCAGCTCGCCCTTGTCCGGGTCGCTTGCGACTCTGCGCCCCGTGGCGCCGGGTCGCCCTCCTTTGCGCCCGCCCCCGGCGCTGCGCTGGGGCCCCCCGGCCCCCTCCGTCGTCTCCCGCCACGAGACCGCCGTGCCGGCTAGGGCGCGTCTGCTGACGCTGCGCGCGCCGCTGCCGCCTGCCGCGCCTTGCGTCGCCACGGCCGCCACGGTTGCCGCTGCTGCTGCTGCTGGCACCGTTGCTGCTGCCGTCGCCGACCCCCCCCTGGGCGACGGCGGTGGCCGGCGTCGCCGCGGCTGACGCGCGGCGGCGCCGCCCCGGCGTGCGAGGCCGCAGGGGGACCCCCCTCGGCCCGTCGCGCTCGGGCCAGCGCTCCCCCCCTGGGGAGCATCCTCTCGGTGAGACCCCTCGCTGCTTGCTGCCGGGTCCCGCATCTCGCGGCCGCGCCTGGCCTGCGACGGCATGCCGCTCGTATTCCCCCGCTGCCCCAGCCTTGCGCGCGAGGTCGCTAGGCCCCCTCCCCCCCGGCCCAGGGCGCAGGTCTGCGGGCCATTCTGTCGTCGTGGTCTCCCTGGCCGCGCGGGAGGTGCTTGCTGACTCGCCTTCAGTCTTCTGCCTCTTCTTCCCGCCCGAGGTTGACGGACGCCCGGTCCTCCCTCTCTTTGCTCCCTCTCTGGGTCCTGCTCATGCCCCCAGGCGTTGGCCCCTCGCCGACTATTCGCTGGAGTTTGGCTTCTCTTCACACCCACTCGTCGCGCCATCTGGTGACTGGCGATGCGGATTTTCCGTCGAGCGCCCGCGCGGCCTGCTCCTCCTCTTGTCGAGGCCCGTCGTGGTGGGATGGTGTCTGACTGTGTCCCTGGCGCTGTTCCTCGCAACGTTCTTCCACATCCGGGTCGAAGACTTCTTCAATTACCTCGAGGTGCTGCACGACGCCCAGGAGTTCGTGCTGGTGCTGGCGCTCTTCTGAGCGGCAGTGATGAGGTTCACCCGCTGCTCGTCTCTTCCGCCTTCTTGCTCTTTTTCGTTTCGCCCTTCTCCTTTTCTGCGCTAGTTTAGGCCATTACAACGACGCTTCGTTCTGACGGCGCCTGGCATCCTCCGATGCGCTTGCGATCAACAAATCCCCACCGGCCCATCCAACACCGACGCCCAGCCGAGTTGAGACGATCAGGGAAGTGTAGGAGCCAAGATGGGGGCAACCGTCATCGCTCGAGGGAGGAGGAGGATGGATGAGGAAGGAACCAGAATAATTACCAATCTGCTGATGCGGAGGAGGAGGAGGAGGAGGAGGAGGAGGAAAAGGAGGAGGAGGAGGAGGAGGAGGAGGTGGAGGTTGACGGCGAGCAGAATGATTAGGCGTTTCTTGGATGCCTCTCGGCGTCTCCCAGGATATCTCTTGAGCGCTTGTATGCTCCTTCGATCGTCTTGGGAACGTTGTGGCGGTTCCGAGAAATTCGGGGCGTCTTGAATGCATCTTGGACGCTTATAACAAGTGCATTTTGTGGGGGTTTATTTTGAAAACCTGTGGGATTTATTCAATCGCTTCGCTCACTCCGCTGGCCCATGTTGCGCGCCGCGGTCGACTCGCTGAGAGGTCGTTGGCAGTGCGGAGCTGCAGGTTTTCTCTTTCTGAGGCGTTGTGTTCGGCATGTTTGTGTTGAAGCGGCCCCCGTGGAACAGCTTCGTGTCGATTCGTGGCGATCCGCCAGGAGTGTTTTCGTCATCGCCAAGAATGAGCTGAATTGGCCCTGCGGCGATCTTCGGGGCCTCTTGGGGGTATTTTTTGGGTTTCTTGGAAGCCTCTTGGGGGCCTCTTGGGAGCCTCTTGGGGTTCCTTGGCGGCGTCTTGTGTGCCCCTGCAGCCTCTTGGGGGGCTCTTGGGGACTTCTTGGGTCAGGAGGGGGGGTAGTCGATTGCGCCCCTCCCCTCGGGGATCACGATCCTCGTGAGCGGTGTCGAAAAATTGCCCGGTCTGGCATCTCAGATCCGAGTGTCCCGGGGCTGTCCCGGGGGTCTCCCGCGGGTCTCCCGGGGTGCTTTTCGTCCGGGGACCCCCACGGGCGGCCCCGCGCGCGAACTAAACTATTGTTAGCCAGTTGCCGGAGATCTTAGCACGCCTTTGGCCCGTTGGGCAGGCGAATTTGGCGTCTGTTTAGGGTTCGTTGGGGTTCGTTCTACTCCATCCTCTCGCTTCCTTCCTCGACCTGGACGGCCAAAGTGCAGCCCGGCAAGGCCGCGTACCCCAGGTCGCGTACCATCGCCGACAGGTCGCATACCACAGGTCGCGTAACAAGAGACAGAAGGTCGCGTACCACAAGTCGCGCGCCACAGATCGCGACTTGCCAGGCGTCTGGCGGGCGTCCGGGGGCCTCTTGGCGGGCCCAGGGCCGTCTTTAAGTATATTGGGTGCCTCGGGGATCCTCTTGAGGCCTCTCGGGGGTCTCTTGGGAGCTTCTTAGAGGCCTCTTGGGCGCCTCCTGGGACCGCCTGGGCGCCTCTTGGGGCGCTCTTGCGAGCTTTACTGGCGCTTTTGGGGCCATCTTGGAAGACGTCGACCAACAAAGGAAAGGGTCGCAATTAGCTTTGCCCCTCGGGAACCCCCAACATCGCCTCTCGGTGGGCTCTTGGGGCGCTCTTGGAGCGCTCTTCGGCGCTCTTGGGCGCTCTTGGGGCCGTCTTGGGATTCTCTCGGGCTTCTCTGGGGGCCCTCTTGGGCCATCTTGGAGCCATCTTGAGGCTTCGGATGCGATCGAAAGCGAATGCGCGACGATGCATCACACATTGTTTTCCGTTAGGTGTTTGAGTGATTTTGGCTTTTTGGGTGCCTACTTGGAAATCCCGGAGGCCCCATGGAGCCGTCTTGGAGCCTTCTCGGGGCCTCTTGGAGCATCTTGGAAGCCATCTTGAGCCATCTTCGGCTATCCTGAGCCATCTTGGAGGTCATCTTGGGCTCTCTGAGGCGCTGCTGGGGCCGTATTGGGCCATCCTGGACGCTCCAACTACCCGCGAAACTCATGTCCAGGTCCAGGCGAGGGGGTCGGGGAAGGGGTAAACCCTTTCCCAAAAGGCAACACGGGGTTGGAAGAGGAGCCTCCCTAGACCACCTACGCCCAGAGGGCTGGTGGGACTCCGCTTCGACGCTGCGCGCGAGGCCGCGACCGCCAAAACAGTGTGTGTGTGTATGTGTGTGTGTGTGTGTGTCTGTGTGTGTGTGTGCTCACGCGTGGGCCGCTGGCGACTCCCTCGCGCACGTCTCTCTGGGTATTTTCAGCATGCAACTTTCTCACGTGCACGGTCAGCTTCGTGCATCCCGCTATTGCCCTCGCTGAACCTATTGGCCGCGAAGCTCAACGTCGTGTGTGTGTGTGTGTGTTTGTGTTTGCTCGTGCGAGCATGTATGTGTGCGTTGCTCGTCGCATGTGGTCAAGCTAGCTCAAACTATGGACCTTGCGGGCCTTGGGCACGGTGTTGCGCCATGCTCCCGAGAAGCCTCGGCATGCTGCCCCAACTTCCAGGAAGATGGCTGCGAAGGTTGGCCGGCGACACCGCTGTCTGCGATTGGTCCTGCACCGCGACGGCACGACGCCTCGGTGCTGGCCGGGCGATCGCGATCAGCTCCGATCGCCTGGAGGCGTTCATGAAGGCGGAGCTGGACGTCTTCGCTGCTAGGAAGGATCGGCCGCTGCAGCCCCTCAAGCTCCAGGACATCCTTCGCGCGTCGTCCTCCCTGCCGCTTCTGGCCCAGCTCCTTCATGTGGAGCTACCGGTGCGCTTCGCGCGGCGGATCAAGCACCTCCAGCGCATCCCAGGTGCTCGCCAAGACGCGCTAATCCACTACTGCCACCGCTGGAACCCAACGGAAGCCCTGCTGCCGTGGCCAGACTGTTGTTGGAAAGTTGGCCACCGCTCTGGGCTTCGATCCTGGAACCAGCGGTGGAGGTGGCTATGCGCATCTTGACCAGGCTGGGAGCGCATCCCGGAGCTGGTCGCGCTTCACGACATGCACCTGGAGTCGTTCCGCGAGCTGCGGCTGGCCAGCCCCGAGGCGCTGGAGCACTTCGCACAGGTGGTGTCGCAGGTCCGCCTGCGCCACAGGACCATCACCCGGCTCTTCGCCGAAGCCCTGCAGCGAGTGGACCGCTCCGCGGACGCCCACCTCGCGGAGTCGTCCCTCGGCGCGGCCGCTGGCCCAGTCGAAGAGGGCAGCGAGGCCCAGGTGCAGCGCAGGCACCTGGAGAGGTGGGCAGAGACCTTCCTGAACTCCCGGGTGTCCACCGAGATCCAGATGTCCCACTTCGTGGCGTGCATCAAGTCGAGGGGCTGCCCGACAGACCCCTGGCAGACCGGCCCCTTCCCTGGCGGCCTCCTCGCCCCGCTCCGAGACGGGGGCAGGCGGCCAGAGGACGCCTCGATGTCGAAGGGGTCGCCGAGGGAGGGGCCCGCCACGGCAGGTGTCGGCCTGGCCGCGCCCGATCCAGGGCGCAGTCTGGCCCGCAGGGCGGCGCGGACTCCCGCGTGGGCATCGTCGACACCCGGCTCGACCTGAGAGACGTGTGCGCCCGGGCCGTTGCCGAGGTTCAGGGCGGCCCGTGGGAGTGCGCGGTGGCGGTGGAGCATGTGGGCGAGGACTTCCACTTCTCGGGTGTTGCCATGCGTGGTCCCGGCCCAAGGTGCCCCCAGGCATTCCGCGCCATCTCGGGGGCCCCATGGCTCTCAGACTCCGGGCCTCGTGAGGGGTGCTCTTGGAGGCCGTGGGGACCCCCCTGGAAGTCCTGGGGACACCTTGGGCCAGGGACACGTTGGCAACACCCGAACTTCTGCCACACGCCGAGGTACCTCTTCTACATCCCTGAGAAGAGCAATCGGCAGAACCACGAACTTCTGGAGGTCCGCGCGGACTTCTCGGATTGGCGCTGGACCCCGGTGACGGCGCCACCGGCGCCCTCCCTGGCGCGCTCCGCGCGCCAGGGAGGGGATCCAGTGCCGAAACACAACAAGCCCGCGCGGACCTCCGAAAGTTCATGCTCGTGCCGATCCAGACATGAGATGTCCCGATTTTTTCAAAGCGCGGTCCCCCCCCCCTCCTCCTCTCCTCCTCCTCCTCCTCCTCCTCCCTCCTCCTCCTCCTCCTCCTCCTCCTCCCTCCTCCTCCTCCTCCTCCTCCTCCTCCTCCTCCTCCTCCTCCTCCTCCTCCTTCCTCCCTCCCTCTTTCCCTCCTCCTCCTCCTCCTCCTCCTCCTCCTCCTCCTCCTCCCTTTCCCCGGGGCCCGTTTTGCATCCCGATGCATTCTGTTGGCAGTCCCCCGGGGGTCCGGCGAGGGCGCCCGGAGGCCGACAGCGGCCCAGAATAATTCCCCGCGGTGCTCTTTTTGTTCACGGCGCGAGCATGCCTGGGCTGCCAACGCTGCATTCTTGCTGTCCCAAATCTAGGAGGGCGATGCATCGGCGACGTCGGCGTGGAGCAAAACGGGCTACACATCGATCAGCATCGCGATGCATCGACGATGCCATCGGCGGTGCGGCGCGATCCTCCAATCCATCTACACGATCTCCCGATTTTCGGAAGGCACCAACTATACACCAACACCGATCCTGGCCCAGGATCACCCTGGGCCCAGGATCGGTGTATGCGACCTCCTGCCTTGGGCAAGGAGGCATGCACACCGATCATGGGCCCAAGGTGATCCTGGGCCAGGATCGGTGTTGGTGTATAGTTGGTGCCCTCCGAAAATCGGGAGATCGTGTAGATGGATTGGAGGATCGCGCCGCACCGCCGATGGCATCGTCGATGCATCGCGATGCTGATCGATGTGTAGCCCGTTTTGCTCCACGCCGACGTCGCCGATGCATCGCCTACGTCGCCGGTGCATCGTCGATGCACTGGCGAGCACGGCCGATGCATTGTCGATGCGATGCTGCGCGATCCTCCGACCCCATCTACTCCGAACCCATCCAGAAGGGCCTCTGTGAATTCGGCGGCGCGCCTCGGGGGGGAAGTGGGAGGGGCCAGGCCTTGTCAGAAGGCGGCGGGGCTTCTCAGAAGGCCTCCCGCTTCTCGAGAACCTCTCGCTGCCTCCGGCGAAGGCTCAGAGCACTCCCGGGAGGCCCCGAGGCCTTCCGAGCCTGCCGAGAAGGCCCGCCCCCTCTCCCCCCCCCCCGCGGGCCCGCCGCCCTTTCGTGCCCGTGCCGATTTCTCTCCGGGCATCCTCGTCGAGCTGCTGAGGAACAGCGCCCGCGCCACCGCGCGCGCCGCAGGCGCCGGCCGCGGGCCCGGCGCGCAGGGGATCGGCGTGACCGTGTGCGCGGGCGACCGCCAGGCGGTCCTGCGCGTGAGCGACCGGGGCGGGGGCGTGCCCTGCGACATGGTCGACCGGATGCTGTGGTTCCTCCCGGCCCCTCCTCCTCATCCCTGGCTCCTGTCCCCCCTCCCACGCCCTCCTCCTCGCTCGCTCCTCCTTCCTCCCTCCCCCTCCCCGTCCCCATCTCCGGCCTCCTCCTTCTCCCCCCCCCCCCCTGTCCCGCTCTGCAATTACGCACTACGAATTCTACTTTCCTCTCTCTCTTTCTCTCTCCCTCTCTCTCTCTCTCTCCTGACCCTGTCGGGAACATCTCAGGCCAACCTCCACTTCGTGCTTTGCACACATGGTTGGGCCGAGTTGTTTTTTCGCCATGTGCTGTTACAGCCTGACGTTTTTGTTCGCTCACGTGTTCCAGAAATGGTGTTCCCGCTGCAGCGTGGGCATCATTTTCGGATCGGCGCCGTGCTCCCGTCGTTCCGAATGGCGCTCTCGCCGCAGCGCGGGCCACTTTCCTGCAGCCGAGTCTTTTTGTCATCGTCGTCGCCCTCCTCTCTTCGCCTCCTCCGCCATCCCCTGGTCCTCTTGCTCCTCCCACTCCTTCCACTCCTGCTGCTGCTATCCGTCCTCGTCCTTCTCCTCCCTGGTCCTTCTCTTTCCTCGTCCTCCCTTTTCCTCCCGCTCGTCCTCCTGCTCACCCGCCACCTCCTCTTCCCTTTTCTGATTGCACAAAATTCGATGGGGTCTTTTGTGAAGCTGCAGGTAAGGCTATGACACGCTTCCGCGGATAGAGAAGATATCAGCGCAACGGGAAGGGATGAGGAGAGGGATAGGATGTAAGATATGGCGCGAGCGCACCCAATTAGCTTGTCCTCCCTCCCTCACACAGGCACAACTAATCGTCGATCCCCTCAGGAGAATAGAGGGAAATATGAAAAGTGGGGGGGAGGACGAACATCCAGGACACATGGAAGGTCGGGGGGGATCCTGGGATTTGTGTCTGTCTGTTTGTGTGTCCTTAGGCCCCTTCGTCCCTCCGTTCCCCCTCCTCCTCCTCCTCCTCCTCCTCCTCCTCCTCCTCCTCCTCCTCCTCCTCCCCCTACTCCTCCTCCTCCTCCTCCTCCTCCTCCTCCTCCTCCTCCTCCTCCTCCTCCTCCTCCTCCTCCTCCTCCTCCTCCTCCTCCTCCTCCTCCTCCTCCTCCTCCCCCCCGTCGGCGTGCGCAAGCGGGTGGCGCGAGGGGGGCGGCCTTCCCTGCGGGAGGTCTGGGCGCTGCAGTGCTCTCGCCCTGCGCGCTCTCGGGCAGTCTCGGGCCCCGGGACCCGCACAGATCGATCTGGCCTGGGACATGCAGCAGAAAGATGGGGTCCAGGGCTCTGGCCGTGCTCGTTATGATGCTTCCAGGACGCGCACCTTTGGATCTCAGGGTCGCAAGAGGGCGGGGGGCGCCTCGGAAGGCAGGGGCCTGGAGCACACTCTAGCAGGAAGCAGAGCAAGCAAAGAAGGCAGGGACCTGTTCAGAATAGCCCGGGGGCTTTTGAGATATGTCTGAGGAAGCTGTGAGGACTTCTGAGAGGCCCCTCCTCTGCCTTCTTGGAAGGCCACCCCCTCGCGCGCTACTCCCCGGCGCGCGCCGCTGAGGTTCACGGGCGGCTCGACAGCGCACGTGCCGAGCTCCCCAGACGGCGCGGACGACGACGCCGCCCAGGGCTCGCAGGACCGTCCCTGGGGCGTGTTCGGAGGCGAGAGCCCTCTGGCCGGCAGGGGGATGGGCCTGCCCCTCAGCCGGGCCTACGCGAGGTACCTCAGCGGCTCGCTGCAGGCGCTGGCGGCGCGGGGGGGGGGGCGGTGTCGCGACGAGGGGGGTGGCCTCCTAAGGGGGCGTGGGGTGCTTCGCGGGATCATCGCCGTTAGAACCAGCCCAGCCCTCCTTCTCCTCGATCCTCCCTTCTCCTTCCCTATCCTCCTGCTCCTGCTCCTCCTCCTCCTCCTCCTCCTCCTCCTCCTCCTTCTCCTCCTCCTCCTCCTTCCGTCCTACGTCCTCCGTCCTACGTCCTCCGTCCTCCGTCCTCCGTTCTCCGTTCTCCTCCTCCTCCTCCTCCTCCTCCTCCTCCTCCTCCTCCTCCTCCTCCTCCTCTCCTCCTCCTCCCCCCTCCTCCTCCTCCTCCTCCTCTCCTCCTCCTCCTCCTCCTCCTCCTCCTCCTCCTCCTCCTCCTCCTTCCTCCTCCTCGTCCTCCTCCTTCTCCTCCTCCTCCTCCTTCTCCCTCCTACTCCTCCTTCTCCTCCTCCTCCCCCTCCTCCCCTCCCTCCTCCTCCTCCTCCCCTCCTCCTCCTCTCCTCCCTCCTCCTCCCTCCTCCTCCTCCTCCTCCTCCCCCCCCCCCCTCCTCCTCCTCCTCCTCCTCCTCCTCCTCCCCCTCCTCCGGCAGCAGCGGCACGCCGTCAGAGCAGAGGCAGATACCACCGCCATCGGGAGCCCATCGTGGGGTGCGAGTGGGACGGGGTATGCTAGCTCTCCCAGCGTGCGCCCTTTTAGGTGGGGATGGGTGGTGCGAAGCTCGAATGGGACATCACCCTCTACCCCCCCAGACTTCCGACGCCGTGCTTTTTCACAACGTGGCTCCCCAGAGTTCTGGATCCCAGGGAATGGTTTCTCATCCTGAGTCGTTTTCTTGGACGGTCGCCAGGCCCGGATAGGGAGGCCGGAAACTGTCAATACCTTGTCGCTGGATTCTCCTACGACGCGAGGATGTCAAAGGCGGGACATACGGTTGACCCAGTGGGCGTGGGGACGATTCTAGCTGTCCAGGTGAGATGGATCGGAGGCCTCCCAGAATCGCAGGCCTCGAGGTTAGCACCAACACCAATATCGGTGGCGTGTCTCCACCGAGGGAAGAAGATCCCGATCTCGGTGGTGGTAATAATATTATGGCTTCCAAGGTGGCCGAAACATTACCACCGACACCGAAATCTAGGAGGCACCCCCCTGTGTCGGTGCTGGTGGCCATTCCCAGGCCTCCAAGAGAAGGCAGGAGGTACTGGCGTCGGAGAAGCCCCCTGCTCTCTCAGGAGGCCCCTCCCCTGCCCCCATCACGCCTCCTCCGACGCCTCCTCCTTTCTTCAAGGATCGACCCCTGGAGCGTTTTGACCAGGATCTCCATGCGGACCCAGCCGTTACGCGTCCTTTGAGCCTTGAGCCTCGATCCTGCCGGATCTTGACCTCCTCGCGTCTTGCAAGACGCAACGACCGAAGGAGTTTGCCGTGTTCGGCCTCGGGGCAGGCAACAACGAGGGTCCCCAGGAAGGGGGTCGACAATTTCTGGGGATCCAAGTTGTGAATCACATCGCGACGTGGGATGTCTGGTTGGCGGCGTTGACGAGGGTGTGAGGAGTAGGGAAGGGGATCTCATGACCTCCTCTCCCAGTTCGCCTAGCAGCGCAACCGATTAGGCTACTGCCACGGTTAGCGATCGCCATCGCTGCGATTGAAAATTACCGATGCCGCTACTCCTCGAACCTCTCCTGAGGTGCATTCAGACCAGGATTTTGAGGCCAATCCCGCAGTCGTGACGAGGACCTCCCAGGAGGCCCCAAAGACGAACACGCGGCGATTGTAGCTCTGTGGGTGCACTCAGCACATCCAGCATTTGGCTGCTGCGTGTGCATCCGCAGGTTGTGAACCTGCCGAACCTCGGGGTGGACGCCTTCCTGTCCGTCGACCGCATCGATTTCAAGGGCGCGGGGCCCGCGGCGTAGCCCAGCGCGCGGCGGTCCGACGCGCCTCGCCGCGCACGCGCGTGCGAGCGCTCCAGAGGAGGTGTGGGGGCGGCACGGGGGCCGATCATGGTGACGATGACGACAACGATGATGGTGATGGTGGTGGTCCGTGATGCCGTTGGCGATGATGTTGGTGACGGTGTTGCCGATGATGATGATGATGATGATGATGATGATGATGATGATGATGATGATGATGATGATGATGCTGATGATGATGATGATGACGATGATGATGATGATGATGATGATGCTGATGCTGATGCTGATGCTGATGCTGATGATGATGATGATGCTGATGCTGATGATGATGATGATGATGATGATGATGATGATGATGATGGTGGTGGTGGTGGTGGTGGTGGTGTTGTGTTTGTTAGCTTTGAGTTTATTGAATCGCTTCGCTCATTCCGCCGGCCCGTGATATGGCATCGCTGGTTTTTGTCTGTGTGTTCGTTGCCCATGTTGCGCTCTTGGGGGCGGGTGTCGTTCGGACGCGTTGCGTGGGGAGTTTTGATGGTGAAGCAGTTCCCTGGGGGTCGTCTCTCGATGGGGCGAAATAGAGTCGTCGTCAAGATGCTTCTTTGGGGGGCCTCTTGGGGTCTGTTGAGAGGCCGTTCGGGGGCGCCTGGGAGACATGTTTGAAGCCTTCTGGGGCTTCTTTTGGGCCTCCTGGGAGTCTCCTGGGGCCTCTTGGCGACATCTTGGGGCCTCTTGGAGGCCTCTTGGGGCCTCTTTGGGACCTCCTGGGCGCCTTCTGGGACGGAGGGCTCCATTTTTGAGTTCTCGGTATCCCTCCTGAGTCCCTCTTGGGCCCGTCTTGGGGCCTCTTGGTCCGTCTTGGGCGGCACTTGGGCCGTCTTGAGGGCTCTCTTGGGTCGTTTCGGCGCCGTCTTGGGAGCTTCGTGGGCCGTCTTGGAGCGGTCTTGGGGGCCTCTTGGGCCGTCTTGGAGCGTCCGGAAGCCGAAAAAGCCAGAACACAAAAAACATCGAAAAAACCAATGAAAATCAACGATTTTGGCCTCTTGGGGCTCTCTTCGGAGGCCTCTTGGAAGGCTCTTGGGGCGTCTTGGAGGCCTCTTGGGCTGTCTTGGGGGCCTTTTGGGCCGTCTTGGGGTCATCTTCGGCGTCTTCGAGCGCTCTTTGGGCGTCTCGGGGGCCTCTTGGGCAGTCTTGGGGGCCTCTTGGGGCACTCTGAGCGCGCTCTGGGGAGCCTGAGAGGCCGCACCCAGAAGGAAAACCATCTCTGAGTAGACTTGGTCGGGCGGCGGTCGGGCGGCGGGCCGGGCGGCGACCGGCGGCGACCGGGCGTTGGTCGGGGTACTTTTCGCCGGGGGACCCCCAGGGGCCGCCCCGCGCGCGCGAACTAGAAATACTGTTAATACTGTTAACCAGTTACCGGAGATCTTAGCACGCCCTGGCCCGTTGGGCCGGCGAATTGTTGTTGCTGGTCATGATGATAATACGGATGATGGTGGTGGTGGTGATGATGAGGCCAGAGCACGGGCTGTCCACAAGCTTGCCTTTGGACTCGAGGCCTACCCAAGGCTCATTGCCAGCAGGGAGGAGACCGCGCCAGAGGCGGGGGAGGATCCAGAAGGGGCCCTTTGGGCCGTCATCCCAAACAGCACCCACCGCGGGCCGTCCAGAGGGGCGGCACGTGCCGAACCTGTGGTTCGGGCGGCCCTTGCCGCTGGTAGCTACTGCTCTGCAATCTTGGCCGCCCCGGGTTCAAGCGAGGAGGCGCGGTCGCGTGGCAGGCGATTTTCGCGGGCGGGATCGTCTGCGTCGTTTCCCGTCGGTGGGCGAGACAACCGACCGATTCTTCGACGAGCAGCGGGAGTGCTGATACATTGTCAAAATCTTCGGCTGGACCAGAGCACAGTGACGACGCTGCCTTCTGGGGCGCTGCGGCAGACCAGGGGCATCCTGCTTCGATCGTGGCTGCTCGAGCTGCCCATAGCTGGGGCCGGAGCCGCTGGCGCGGTAGCACGTTGCGAGGCCCGCGTCGTCGGCGCCAAGCTCGCGAGGCTCGAGGGCCCCGTTGCCGCCAACGCGCTGACCCAAGACGGCCTCGGCGACCTCGAGTTGGAGGAGCTTCTCACCGCGGTGCCCGCCGCCTGCCTTCCTTACGATGCCGGCTCGCTCGCCTCCGCAGACTGTGTCTCGTTGACGCTGCGATCGGCCAGCAGACGTGGCCTGCACGAAGGTCTCGCCCGCGTTCCTGGCGAGGATTACCGAGAGCTGCGCGGAGGGCGAGCGCGGGCGCGGTCTCGTGGTGCGCGGCCTCGCGGGCCAGGCGGGGCCTCCGAGTGACGGTAGAGCCCGTGGCTCCAGAGTAGAGGGCAGCCCCAGCCCGACGACGTCGCGCGTGGCATCGGGCTGTTCCGCGCAACCCTCGTTACCTACGCGCAGTGCCTCTGCGACGCGAAGGCGTCATATTCAGGGGGATATGAGAGCTTTCTTGGCGTCCAGTTTTGCTGGCCCTAGACCCTCGGTCAACTGCGTCCAGCCTGGGCCGCGGTGGCTCGCTGGCGCACCTTCGAGCCAATTCAGATGCGCGCGCTCGCGCCTGTCGAGTTGCCCCTGGCCCTGGCCGTCGCTGCCCAGGCGCAGGGACGGGGCAGGACATCGGCGTGCATGCTCCTCGCCTTCCACTTCCTGCTGCGGCCTGGCGCGGTCGCGATTGCCCTCGGGCGGCACCTCGTCTTGCCCTGAGACTCTGGAGGCGACGTCAACACAGGCGTGCCCGTGCTGCTCTCCGCCGAGATATCGGACCGAAGGCCAAAGTTCCAGAGCGTCCTGATCGACGATCCTGCGCTGCTGAACTCGATGGGGCGCGTCTCTGGGCCCCTCTCGCCGATGGCAGCGCTGTGCCCAAGACAGCTGCGCGGGCTGGCCCAGAGGTTCAGTTACCTCATGGGCTTCGTCGGCATCGGCGACTCACTCTGTGCTCTTGGGTCGCTGCGAAGAGGCGGGGCCATCCTTCGCTTCCGCTCGTTACAGAACGCGGGAATGCTACAATACCGTGGGCGGTGGGAGGATGCCAAATCCATGGGTCACTATCTCCAGATGGGCGCGGCCGCCATATCCTTCGCCCGCGCACGTGTCGTCCGACAGCCGACAGCGCGTCCAACAGCTTGCTCACCCCGCCGCAGCTGTGTGGGATAATTGAGGCCTGCGTCACCAACGCATCCGTGGGGCAAGACGCACTCTAGAGGCGTGGCAATAACGGCAAGGTTGGAACGGGTCGATGGCTCTCTGTTTTTGGGGCTCTGTGAGTCCGCGCGGCAGAATCAGCGCCGCTGCGCTCTGGTGCCCCCCGCCGCCCTCTGGCCGGCCTTTCTTCGCAGCCTTCGCGCGCGGGGTGCTTTGGAAAACGAGCGCAGGGGGATCACGTGCCCGCAGCGGTTATGGTAGTAGAAGGAAAGCGGTCTGCAGCTTTCTCGGCCTTCCCCCCAACACTTCCGAACAGCTTTTGAGCAGATCGAGAGCTCTCTGTCTTCGGGTCTCCGTGAGGCCGCGCGGCAGAACCAGCGCCGCTGCGCCCCGACGTCCCTGGCCGCCCTTTGGCCAGTCTTTCTTCGCAGGCTTCGCAGGTGGGCGCTTTGGGTAACGAACGGCGGAGACTATGTGAGCACAGCAGCTATGATAGCAGAAGGAAGCGATCTGCAGCTTTCTCGGCCTTCCCCCCCGCCTTTGCAAACAGCTTTTGAACAGGTCGAGGATTGTCTTTTGTGGCTCTGTGCGGCCGCGCGGCGGAGCCAGCGCCGCTGCGCCCCGACGCCCCCGGCCGCCCTTTGGCCAGTCTTTCTTCGCAAGCATCGCGCATGGGTGCTTCGGAAAACGAGCGTCGGATGCAATGGTGATGATGATGATGATGATGATGATGATGATGATGATGCTGATGATGATGATGATGATGATGATGATGATGATGATGATGATGATGATGATGATGATGATGATGAGGTTGATCATGATGACGATGATGAGGATGCCGCTGATGCCGCTGCCGAAGATGAGGACGGTTATACGGGTGAGAACGGTGAGGATGAGTACGATGGCAAGGACGATGACGAGGGTAAGGTGATGAGTGCGATGATGAGTTGATGCTCTTCCTTTTCCTCCTCTCTTCTCCTCCTCCTCCTCCTCCTCCTCCTCCTCTTGCCCCTCATCTCTCCGCACGTGTGGCACATGATATCCGTTCTGCCCAAACTTTCATGCTGATTCCGATGAGGTTGATGATGATGCCGAGGATGGTGAGGGGGATGCGGATGATGATCATGGTGCTGATGGTGGTGGTTGTCGTGAGGGTGAGGATGATGACGACGATGATGGTGACGATGATGATGATTATGTTGATGATTATGATGATGATGATGATGATGATGATGCTGTGATGCTGCGGATGATGATGATTCTGGATATTATGCGGGTGATAACGATGATGATGCTGATGGTGATGGCGATGGTGGTCCCATGAGGGGACTTTTCGAATAGTAAACAGTTGCGTACACATCAACCGTCGAAGGTCTGGGCAGATTTCTTGGGTCGACGCTGGACGCCCTTGCCACCCCGCTCTGAGGAGCGGGGTCCAGCGCCGGCCCGAGAAATCCGATTTGGTTCGCGAGCGCTTATCCGAGTGAGAAGTTCCTGCAGGCGCGAACCCACGTCAAATCGTACGCGTGCTGGCTGCCTCGAGGCAGGCGAACGTCGCCTCGTTTGTCTTCGCCATCTCCACAGTCGTTTGCCCGCAACCAGCCAGAAGCATGGATACAGGCCGAACGTGGACGCCTGTGCAGCGCCACACCCCGCCTGCCCGTGACGCAACTCGTTGCAATGGTTCGCCGTCCACGGAGTGATTGCATCAGCTGCTCAAATCGGCCCGCTGGGGTACATCATCGGTCTATCCTGGTTACAGTGTCCCGGGGTCAATCCCAGGTTTGACTGTGGGACATCGTTCGCAATCTGTTTGTTTTTGATGGACGAGAGCACCGCTTCCGACGGATGGACGCGGTCGCCCCCCCAGCAAAATCGGCCCCCAAAATCGCCCATGG